AAATGTCGCTGTAAACAGTTTATTTTGCGACACCACGAAACAAACGATAGCGTAAAATGAAACATAGACGTTTTTATATCGTCATCCGATATATATCGTTATATCGAACAGCCCTAATTCTGGGTTGATTCAAACAGTGTAAGTGGTCATTATGATGCTCAGGCCATTCATTTCCTTATCAATGCTGTTAGCGAGAAAAACTGAAAGACCCCTGAGAGACCTCAAATCTTTAGAATTAGAACATGTGTTACACCTACAGAAAATTAGATATTATAACAAACAAAGCAGGTCACTTTGAGAAAATGTGGTTAACAATCAAACAAAGTTGTAATTAACTTTGTTTGCATTGGACTATGAACACTTACAACTTGCAGCTTCAGTATTAATGTCCTAGTTTGTATGTGTTACTCCAAAGAATCTCATCAGCCTAACACCTAATGCTCTCTTTTGAAACAACGGATGTGTGTGCCACAGCCATCACCTGCAGTCGTCCTCTTCCCCTGACTAATGCGTACCTTAAAGCAGATAACTCGTAAGCTGGAGAACAGACGGCATCTAACTAATTTAGAACATTTTTGTTTAACCTGAAAAAAACGTTTTTGTCCTGTAAAACAAAACAAAAAGAAAAAACCTCTGCAAAGCTAGAATCACCCTCCAGGAACACTTTGAGGACTTTTTGACCAACGTCTTTCAATGCACACAATAAACAGTCTCCTGGCAGCCTTCAGCTTCCACTCTGCTGTGGAGCCCCCTCCTAGTTTCGATTCGAGTCATGGACACCCTCTCTGTACTTTTGAGATTGGCCTTAAAACTTTTCTTTTTGATAAAAAGTATTTGTTCTTCACTTACCTCTTTTTTTCACACCACTCTGCATTTAATCATTACTTATTATCAATTTCTTGTTCTCTTCCACGATGTGTTTTTGCCCCGTCTTCCTCTCCTCGCCTCCAGCAGATGGCCACCCCACCTGGAGGTTTCTTCCTGTTAAAAGGGAGTTTTTCCTTCCAGCTGTCACCAAAGCACTTGCTCATAGGAGGTCATGTGGTTGTTGGGTTTTCTGTTTTCTCTGTGTTATTGCAGGGTACCTTACAATATAAAATGCCTTAAAGCAACTGCTGCTCTGATTTGGCGCTATATTAAAAATTGATGTATTAAAATTAAAATGTATTAAAAGACATTGAATTGAACGACACTCCCACACATTGTTACTCCATGCTGTAAAGAACATCTTTTTTACGCTCTTCCATGTTTACTTCATTTTTCAGTCTGTGGTCCTGCGTTTATAAAGTTGATAAGTCACAGTAACCATGTATCTGTACATTTGCTTGACGCACAAAAGAAAAAAACAGATCCAAATCAGTATGTTATTTTCTTTTGACTAGTATCAGTTCTAGCCTAGAACCAGCCAAGTTTGTTTTCTGTCATGTCATTTGATTTGTCTGCTATAGGAGCTGTTTCTCCATGTTTTTGCATCACCAGAAATTTACATGAGAGAGTGTGGTCAGTTAAACATCTGCATGAAATGAGGGTTTTGTTGAATTTCCACTTTGGTTCCACTGTGACAGAAGTGATTAGCTCGTCCCAGAGAAAATGCTTCCAAAGACATTTCAAGTTTTTGATCATATCTCTGCACAGAGATGGGTTCAGAGTGACAGAGTGAAATTGCTGCTGCTACTGAAAATTCTTGTCCACATGTAAAGCATAATATAGATTTTTTTTAAACCAGTGGTTGTTTCCCTTCAGGCTGTCCTGCAGGTTTCTACGGCTCTCACTGTGCTGAGGTGTGTCGCTGTCAGAATGGAGCAGACTGTGACCACATCACGGGACAGTGCTCCTGCAGGACAGGCTTTATAGGACACAGCTGTGAGCTCAGTGAGTGTGTTTAGTGGTTCTTACATGCAGGAGAGTTGCACATTCACGTGTTAAAGTTCAACATGTCTTAAATCCCTGTTCATGTGTCCAGAGTGTCCCGCAGGGACATTTGGCTACGGCTGCCAGCAGCTGTGTGAGTGTATGAACAATGCCACCTGTGACTACGTGACCGGAACCTGCTACTGCAGCATCGGCTTTAAAGGCATCCGTTGTGACCAGGGTGAGAACAAATGGCTCTGTAAAGAGAAAGGATGGAACATGATCTGACTTATTCTTTTGGTTTCTTTAGATATACCCTCAGTTCAGTTGATTAATAAAATATAAAATAACAGAACATCTGCAAAACTCATACAGACAAATCTTCATATAATAGTAGATATGTACTAAGGTAGTAGATAAGACTGTTCCTAAAAGATGGAAGTACAAAGACCTCTCGAATAGACAGACAAGTGCAGATGGTACTCTGATAAAAAATATTAATGGTCTTTAGCTGAACCAGCAACCATTCACTTGCCAAGTAAATGTATAAACCACTACAATGACTGCAGATTGAATAACTGTTCTATTTTGGTTAAAGGGGAAACACAGTAGCAAATAAAAATATACTAAATATGCAATTCTTAAATACTCCAAATGAAATGAAGTGGAAACAAAAATAATGACATGCAAGACTGTAAATACAGAATACATACTCTTAAGCAGCTGCATGATCACCCAAGCAAAGAGCAGCAGAGTCGTCAGTTTGACTTCCAAGAGTGTGCGGTCATGGGCTGAGTCCCAATTAAGAGACTGCACGCTTGAAGTACGCATTTTAAGTGCGGTTACGTCACCGCCACGTGACGACGGCTGTCCCAATTCAAAGTGTATTTCAAATGCATACTCCAAATGCGCCGTCGATTTCCCCAAATATCAAGCGTGGTCCGGTGCACGCTTCGTGGTCCCATATATCCCACAATTCATAGCGCGGCAGTGGGTGTGGATAATTTTGCTGCAAAATACGGCAGAAGGGAGCGGCCGAAGAGGTTTTTCTTTCTTTTTTTTTCAAACTTTATTGAAATCATAAAGCGAACAGTCAGTCATTCCAGTTCAGTTTGTACAGTAGACATACAAGGCAAATAAGAGTAACAATATACAGCACAATGAAATAAGAAGGATGAATAAATAAAGGATGAAAAAAGAAAAAGGGGGGAATGTGACAGACTCCATAACAACTTTGTACTTGAAAGTTGTGACAGCTCATTCGTTAAACATTTCTGAATGAACTTCAATCAATGATAAACCTTTTTTATTGGAAGTTAATTTAAGAGAGTTTAAGTAATATTCAATTTCAATCAAAAACAAATTAAATGATGGGGTTGAGTTTTGAAATTTACATTTATGTATGTGGAAGTTCCCTAATAAGATGGAGCAGCCGAAGAGTGAACTGTCAAAAGTACTGAATATGACGTCACTTATTTATGTGCGAATGTGTAATAATTAAAGTCAGTCATATATCCACAAACACAACAAGCTGAAAGTCAGTGATATATGTGTGTGTGTATGTATGTATATATATATATCATAATAATCTGACAATACTATCATATTGGCCATATTATATTTACATTACCACAGTGAGATGACTTTAGTCTCATGAACAACATTAACTAATTGTTATTTACTAACTAATCTTAAATGACTGTTCAGCACAGAAATGAAGCCCAACAATCATGTTTACAGTCCCGTGGTCTCAGCCTCAGATACTCAACTAAAGTGATGTCATAAAAAAATGAATGACCAACAAAACATGTTTCTCCTTCATTTCTGTCACACAAAGCTGTATGTAACGTGTCTCGCGGTTAGTATCATGGTTGCTAGGCAACCTGAACAGCGCGACGAAGTGTATACCGTCCCATTTCACAAGCCTCTCACTTACGCACTTCTCGTACTTATAGTACGCACCGTACGTAGTACGCGTAGTACGCGTAGTGCGCGTACTTCAAGCGTGCAGTCTCTTAATTGGGACACAGCCATGGTATTGCAAGCTTCCAAGGGCGTACACAAGATCTGCACAGAGGGAGGGATTAATGCAAGGCATCAAAACAGAATCCACACTAGATGGCAGCCGCGAGCATCTGGCGATGACTGAATGCTTGACTCGTTACCAAAAGTAGTTCAGCAGCTTCATATTCGTGCTCAGCTCTCTGTTTACCTCCAAAGAAGATTATGGAACCCGTGTCACTGCAGACTCCGCCAGTCTGGCGGTATCACCCCACCCTACTCCTTAACTGTTTGCCTTTCATTATCTGTCCTTTGTAGATACATGCATTTGTATCATGGCAAAATACCAAAATAAAAGTCAATAGCACAATAAATTCAGTGAAATGAGAGGAATTTTATTCTGAAATTCTCATTCAGCAAAAATGCCTGATCACACTGTACAGGTGATGTGAGTGTGTCAAACATTAAAATGCAGTGTTACTCATCTGTGTTCTCCTCAGCGGCCTTGATGATGGAGGAGCTGAACCCCTACACCAAGATGAGCCCAGCTCTGGCATCGCAGCGGCAGTCGACGGGGGCTGTCCTGGGCATCGTCTTCCTGCTGCTGATGATCATGGCCATGCTTGCTCTGGTGGTCTGGTTCCGTTATCGACAAAGAGAGAAAGGCCACCGTGTGCCTAGTGTCACCTATACACCTGCCCTGAACATCAGCTCCACTGACTACTCCCTCTCAGGTACGATATCCGTGTGTCTGTCCTTTTCATCTGACTGGTGTTATTTATGTTTAGAATGGCATACAACAGAATTCAGAGCAGTTGATGGTAATCGTAACCTGCTGGGAAATTACACAACCAACAGGTAAAGACAATGAGTGATCTGTTTTTTCAGATCTTGGTGATTAAATTAAAGGTTAAATACTTTGTGCACTGTACATATATATGCGTGTATGACACATAGAGCTCAGTATGTGAGAACATGTCTTGATGTTGGGGCAGCAGGGCTGCAGTGCACAGGCCTGCTTTCTTCTTCAGAGTCCTCTCCCAGTAGCAGCTCTTTAGGTGGCTGCTTCTCCAACCCCAGCTACCGCACCCTGGGGTCCTGCACCTATGCCACACACTATGCCAAGCCAGATAAGAGGAGTTTCGCCAAGGTGGGTTCAAAAACCTTTTATATTTTGCCCTCAAAAAATTTTAAGAGTTTGTTTAATGAGGGGCTGCTAATAAATATACTCCAATTTTTTTTGTTATACAACAAATAAGTTTCTACTTTAAGGTTCAGTTCACCCAAATTAGAAAAACGCAAACTGATTAGTACCTCCTCGTAGCAATTAACTGTCTCTATCTAAAAGCAAACAAACAATTCAAAGGTATTCCTTAGGCTGTGCTGCTTTGAGGCTAACCTCTGTAGGTCAGGTACATAGAAGCAGAAGTTGGATGATTTAGCAGGAAGAAAGACTTTTTTGCTAATGGGTATCTGTGTAAAAAATATTTGCCCCCTTCCTGATTTCTTACTTTTTGGATATTTGTCACACATTTTAATCATAGACAAAGATAAGCTGAGTAAATAAAAATGCAGTTTTTAAATGATCATTTCATTTATTAAGGGGAAAAAAGCAACCCAGTATTAATCCATAAAGATTTAACTTTTTATTGGTGACCAAATTTTCAGTGCAATTTGTTTTGTGTTTTTCTTTCCTTTGCCACATCTCAGTCTAAGAAACTCCAGCTTAATGTGACGTTTTTAATCCCACCTGAACTAAATTGCCCTCAGTACAGATCTTACTGTCAAACTCTAAAAAGCTGATACAACAGAAAGAAAGCACAACAGCATCATATCCAGTCAAATGTGATCACCTCTATAAAATCAAAAGCACTTTGCTGGTCCCAAGGTCAGACTGTGCAAACTGCTGCAGAAAATAAAAATAAAAATAACCCAACATATACAAAGTATGTGTACTAGAGTGAAATGTGAAGCCATCTGTCCAACAGTCAAAACCCCGTTACTCAAGCATACCAGAAAAGCTGCAGGAAGTCCAAACACCAACCTGATTGAAATGCTGTGGAAGGATCTTATGCTGTGCATAACAAATGCCTGCAAACCTCAATAATTTAAAGCAGTTTTGCAAAGACGAGTGGGACGAAATCCCCCCACAGGGATGTGACAGACTGATAAAATCATACAGAAGACGCTTACTGCGTTATTTCTGCTAAGAGTGGTCATGGGTCATGTGCTTAATTTTCACACAGGACTATATGAGTTTTTGCTGTTCCACATTTATGGTTCCCTTCAAGAAAAAAAGGACTTTCTTTTTAAATTTATTTTCCTCAAAAACAAACCCATTTCACTCGACAGTATATACTCTCAACACACTGATTCACAGCTGAATTCGAATGTTTGTACCCTGTTACATCATCCTGTCTACAGCTGATTGAAGTGTTCATTTTTAAGATCGAGACAGTTTTTCTGAAACATACTTTAAGAAGATGTCTTGTTTGTTTTTTACCTTTAATGTGTCTTTGTGAAATTTCCAGATGAAGACAAAGAAGCAACACAGGAACAGCGCTCCAGAGTGGGGCGCCTACTGCAACCTCAGTGAGCTCGGTCAGTCTTTTCTACACCTTCAGCCTCGTTTTATGACCCACTGTTCTTAGCCAGTTGAGTTCAGATAATATTAGGCGGTTGGTTAATTTGCAAAATTATGTATATGATTCAGTATATCCAACAGTGGCCCTGTCGCTGGATGCTGCAAAAGCTTTTGATTGTGTTGAGAAGGATTATCTGTTTAAGACATTAGAAAAGTTTGGTTTTGGTGATAATTTCATCAGGTGGATAAAGATATTATATGATTCGCCTTCAGTGCAAGTATTGACGAATGGGCTCATATCAGATCTATTCCTTTTACAGAGATCCACAAGACAGGGCTGTCCCCTTAGCCCCGGGCTTTTTGTAATTGCTATACAGCCTCTGGCACAAAAACTGAGAAATAATGTAAATATATTTGGAATTTCGATGGGTAATAATCAACATAAGCTTCTATTATATGCAGATGATATGTTGTTACTTATGACCCAGCCTGGGAAGTTAATTCCAGCACTATTAGAATGTATAGAAAGCTTTACGCTGCTTTCAGGGTATCGTGTCAACTGGGATAAATCAGAGGCAATGCCTATGTCAGGACACTGCCCCCATACTTTATTTAAACAGTGGGAGTTTCGGTGGTCCGTGAATGGTTTGAGGTATTTAGGGATACAAATTACCTCAGATTACACTAAGATGGTTCAAGCAAATATGGAGCCAATGATTGAAAGAATAAAAATGGAATGTGGTAGATGGTCCAGAGTGCGTCTCACAATATGGGGTAAAATTAGTTGTATTAAGATGATGACTGCACCCATGATCTTTTATATTTTATCTAATATTCCATTACACATTCCAGATAAGTATTTCCAAGATCTGGACTTTTTAATCCGGCACTTTCTTTGGGGTAGCTCACCGCATCCTTTAAGTATTAAGAAACTTCAAGCGAGTGCAAAACCAGGAGGTTTTTCATTGCCTAATTTCCAATGGTATTATTGGGTGATGAACGTGAAACAACTTAGAGCTTGGTTACCTACTGCACCAGTTAAACCCATCTGGTCCCATATCCTATAATTGCAAATACAAAGACATTGTGGTGTAAATTACATAGGGCAGGTCGCTGGGACTTTATTAAATCACCTTCGGCAACCTTATGAGGGAATAAAAGAATTCTAATTGGAGGGACATCGGTTGACTGGTTACAGTGGCGTAAAGCAGGCATCCTTAATGTATCAGATTTATTTGACTGTGGGACTAATTGTTTTTTAAGCTTTGATCAAATTGTGGAGTTATATAAGTTGAAGCGTAATCAATTCTGGAGATATGTCCAAATACATAGTTCATTATCGAAGTGGCTGGGAACCCCCTTGAGTTGTCCTGTGGGCAGCCCTGTGGAAGTCCTGCTCTCAAGATCACTCTTGGGTAAAGGCATCACCGCAAAGATTTATCACTTATTGCAAGAACGGTCAGCTGACCCTCTCCTGAAAGTTAAGGGCTACTGGGCCCAGGACATGGTATTGGACATATCTTCAGTTGAATGGGATTCATGTTTTCAAAATGTTAGTACTACGTATAAAGAAACAGGCAGTAGATTTATTCAACTTAAGATAATCCATAGGTGGCATC